TTTTCATTATTTTATTTCATCATCATGATTTTATAATCAATTTATTTTCATCATTACTCTGATACCTTTTGTCACCAAGTTACCAGACAGTGTGTTTTACTCCCTAACAGGTAACACCTTTCCTGGTTTTCTCTCTGAATGTTCATGTCCTTGAAACATAAGTTGATGTGAGAATGTACTTCTATTCTGAAAAGTTCTTGCCATGGTTTGGTCACTCAAAAGCACATGTCTCCACAACAGACATTTTGTGAGTGAGATGCATAAAGTTAGGTAAATTAAAAAAAATTCATTAAACAAATATTGCAAATATAACATTTTCAGAAAAACATCTTTGTTTATTCATCACTATTGAGAATTATATTTCATCAGGTTTTACCATTCTTCATCCCTCATATATGGTTTGATAAGAAGTGCAACAAAAAAATCTACAACATTACATTCTTGGGCAAGCACACAAGGATGAAATAAGATTAAAACACATTAATGTAACAGAAGTCCACTGACTGAAACTGAAGAAGCCACTCAGCCTTATACATGTAGCTCAAAAAAATTATACTGTTAACATTTTACTCCATCTTTAATATTTATTTCTCCTTGAGAAGTAACTACTTCAATAATAATAATATTTTTCTGCTTAATACGAAGCTTTTTCCAACCTAAAGAACCAATGTCATTTTCATTTTGTCTTCAAGTACCTGGTGCTATGAGAACCTGCCTTATGAATTAAAACAAGACTATGACCTTTTCTCTGAAGCAAATGTGAGTATAAATGAATCCGTGAATAAGCAACAGTGACTACAGGCTAAAGCCATCCCTCATTCATTATTACACATGGCAGGATTGGGGATTCACATCCTCATTACCACACTAGAGGAGCCCACCAACAACTGCAATCTTCTCTTCCACTCTCCTGCATTTAACTTGCACACAACATTTTGCTGTGGCACAACTGGAAAGAGGGGCCCTGAAGCTATATAACTATAGAGCTGTTGGTCACAATTTCTAAGGTCACCTTTGAAGCATGACAAATCTTCACCTTCTAATCTGTGGCTTTATTTCTAGTCTTCAGCTGGTGGACAAATAAATTAACAGAGTCTACATAAACAAAGGAAAAATTTACCTCATCTTTTTTCAAAAAGATAAGGCTGGCAGAAGCATGTGTTCATGCATATACTGAAAGACAGAGGTTGTCTCTTAGAGCTGCTCTTAAAAGATAAGGCAAGTTCTTTTGGCTTCTCCAAGAAAAAAAAAAAATTGTGTACATCAAAGGATTGAGCTCATGAAAAGTGTATGCCTCTGCTCAGTGAGGGCTTGATGAAAACATTTTCACTGGTAAGAATATGGACTATATCACTTTCTGTAAGCAAAATGCAGAATCTCACTTTATAAAATCCTCACTGTAATGTCAGTAAGAAGGCAACTTGTTCCCATTGCTAAAACAGGAAGGGTGACCCAGCTGATTGTCTCTGGAACAACCAGACACACAGTAGTTGCTACTTCGCTCTGCATTTAAGCTTAAGGAATCTAAAGTTTCCATAACAGGAGACAAGACTCATGATCTCCTAAGTTACTTTTGGCTATGCTAATTAGCTATTTAAGCACTTAAAGTTGATAGTATCTGCCAAAGTAGGAAGCAGTAACTATTAAAGACTTGAATTTTCATGTGTGTGGCATACTCTGCCCTTAATCCAGGGAGAATGGTCTGTCACCTTGGCACCGCAGGGCTGAGTTCACAACCTTGTCACACCACCCCAAGCCAAACATCATCCTGACACTTCAGCATTTACAAGCAACAATTTGCCCTAAGAGATGCATTTAAATGATAAATAATATCCTGCTGCATTAATGAAACTGTGATGTATATTTCATCCACCTTTTCATAACTTCACAAACACTTATTTTCTACTGAAATGAGTCCTAAAAATTACTTTATTCTGAGATCACATAAAATCAGCAGCCTGCTTGTTTCAAACAGGTCCTCTGTCTAAGCAGGTGTTTTCTGTTTTAGATCAAAATATCAACAGCTAAAATGAAAAGACACAAATTATGGTTCCATGATGTTGGTAACCTGCTTATTCACCCCTCCCAACCACAGATGATACTCAGATGTAACTGTTTTGGTCTTTAAGAATAACAAAATGAATTTGTTTCAATAGCAACTAGGAAAACAAGAAGCTAACAAGCAGCCTTTTCCTTCCCTTCTTCACTTTTTTTTTGCAGGGGGTTTACCTATGCTACTTAGTCACTGGACAAGTTAGTGTAAATATTTCATAACTAATTCAAAAATAAACACATCTGAGGTAAGTGGCTTAAATTTATAGTCCTGAGCTTGTACACAAAAGCTACGGTTGTACATTTGTTATTTTTTTCATTCACAAGCACATGCATGCAAAGATTTGGCCTCTTTTTCCTTCAGAGGAAGTAATAAATGACATATTTTAACACAGAATTTTGTTCTGTATGAACAATTTTCTATATAACCCTATTAATAAAGAGCTGGCAGGCAGCATTGAGCTGCTAATATTCAGCTTAAAAAGTAAAATTAAATACCTTTCACAAGTAAAATAAGATGAAATAGCCAATGTACATAATATTTGTACCAAATAACTCAGCTTGGAATTTTAGGTTGGCAAAACTAACAGAAAATGCCAACTAAGACCAGAATACACAAGGTTTCCATGAAGTTTCCTTTAAAAAAATGTGTGTGGACTGAAGATCACTTCTTTCCCTGCATTTTCCTACATTGAAGAGAGCAGTAAAAAATTCTTCTAAAGGCTCAGTGACATATGGAAGCTGCTTCTGTAACAGCCATAGATTCAATTTTCAAGCTTGCAAAAATGAATTTAAGATAGCCACTTAAAGATGAATTCACTTTGAGCACCAGCTACTGTTTCTTTCCTTTTTCAAAAGATACAGAGCTATTTAGTGAAGTTATTCCTTGTGTTAATGTAAGATTTAATGTATCACAAAAAAACAGGGTGTCACAAAGTATTAATGCATTCTGAGAACATACACCAACAGGATTGTACTACATCAGTATGAAAATGGAAGTATTAGTGTTAAGGTAAATCCTAATTCTCATTTCAGTCTTCTGCTGCTGCTGTTAGAGGAGCAATGAAAAATTCCCTCTTTGTAACTGTTCAAATGCTGTCAGCTCTGTATCCCTGTAAATCTACCACCCTTGCTATCAAAGTTGCCTTTCAAAGGTGAACACTAGAAAGATTAGGAGAAGCAGATAAGGTCTTGACCAGAGTTTTTCACAGGTTTCCTGCATGACTCCCTGTGAAGTCACAAACGTATCTGTTCCGCAGAACCCCCTCTGTAAATAAAATTGCCACATGTTGCACACTGGGGTGGGGCAGGTTCTGCCTTGTACAGAAATGCTTTGAAAGGCATTAGGCAATTAAAAACTTTGGTTTGCTACTTAAACATAAAACTTCCCAACTTTATCAGTGAGCTGCTTTGTAATAGTGTTGATAAACTCCACTATCTTCATAGGTAAAAGGATCCTGCAGTAACTGGGCACCTCCCATTGGAGCAGCGTGACAGTACCTACCAACAGAAATAACCAAGTGAAAGTATTTTCCACTCCTTGCTCTCCTCCACTGACACATTTACAGCTTCTGATTTAGAGAAGCTGAAAACATATGTGGTTTTTAATGTGCTTTACAGCAGTTACACCTAGCAAAGATTCAGTCCTTGTGCCTGCTACACACTTCAGTTCCCATGACTCATCGCCAGCTTTCCAGAGGAAAGCAAGTTCTCACTGAGTATCACAGAGCCAGCGATACCTTTTACACGCTCACAAGATAAACAGAGATGCAGCCTAAAAATTCACCAAGTTTAAAGCAGTGGTTAAACTTACACAGATGCAAGCACAATAAGAAATTAGTGCAAACAGCAGTGCTCTATTCCGGTTTACAAGTATAAGTTCCATGTAAGTCTACTAAGACAGACTTTAAAAACATCGATTTATACACAGGACTGTAAGAACTACAAAGTTCAGAACACTCAGCCTTCCAAAACTGCAATCAGATATGTAAATTACATGCATATAACATGCATCAAACATCCTAACCAGCTTATGTGCTCTAAAATACTAATCAAGTCCCTACAGGTTTAAAAGGACAAGAATATATATATTTATAAACACACACACAAATACAAACATTAAAAGTTGAAATGCAGTACAAGCAGCCAGCCAGAAAGTTCAAATACATTATCAACATTCCTACACCAAAAGAGAAATAGTTAAGCATTCAGAATGCATTGTGACTACATTTACATACTATTAGAGAAGATAAAATGCCACAAGTGCCATTACTGGAAATATGACTCAGGACAGAATTTTCTCCCAATGCTAAATTTCACAATTAGTGAACACTCAGGCAAAAAAATCCACCAGCAGGACAAGAAGTTTTTCAATGTCACCAATAACACAGTCTCAACCTTGCCCAAGTCCTATATTTGGCTGCAGTCTGGAGAGAACGTTTCAGAATGAAACACAAACCACATAGTCCAATGGTGCAATGGGTGAGTCTTCCTTCCTGACTCAATATGTGATCAGTGTAAAGCCCAAAGCCTTAGACTGAAAGGAACCCTAACACAGTACAACCCAACAAATGGTATTTTCCCCCATTTCCCTCAAAAGCAACACAGCTTTGAGGTATTTTTGAAAAATTACCCTTGTCTCAGCAAAATAAAAAGTTACATTAGCACAATTTCAGGTTGTCTACTCTATTTCCTTGTTACTTCCTTCTATTCTTCTAGACATCTAATTAAGCACCATGTCTTATCCCAAAAGGGGACTGAACTGCTGCCCCTTCTCAGCTTTACTGTAGACCTCTCCCTTCTCCATTGACTGAGTAATTCTTCATACCAGGATACTTCTTACACAACTTCTTGATCATGCTTTCTCTAGGCTAAAACAGGCTCCAATTTAACCTCTGCTTTCCTAGAAGGAGAGCAACACAGCTGTGAGAGAAGGATGACTGACTTACAGTGGGTGGGTAGGATCACTGCCACCAGGAAGAATCCAAATCTCTTCTCTTACAGAAGTGAAAGTATGAGCTATTCCATTAGGCAGGATGTGCAAGCTCACATGAGTTTTGTGTTGGATCTGAAAAACAAACCAAGAAATCAGATGAGAAATAAAACTTCCCGATGCCTTGTTCTTTCATACCTGAGAAGTAACAAGTAGAATAGATGAATATCTGAAAATTTTTCTGCCTTGATTTTTGTGCATCCTCCTCTCCCAAAATATTTCTCTAAAATATAGCATCTACAGCTGATATTTTTTTTCCTGAAAGATATGCATTAAAAATTCAGGTTAGCCACATTCTCCCATACAATTAAGCAACTTGAGTTTTAGTCTACTAACACACTGTGAGACCAATGCATTTTGCAACAGAAACCCTTCTTGCTCCAAAGATCCAGAACTCTGCACAAGTGTGTAACTCTACCGAGACTGTGGGGAACCCACCCAAACCCCTTGTCAGCACAAAAACAAGAAAGAAGAATCCTGAACAGAAATAGATGTCAGGGTACTACTCTTGGACGAACTTGTAGCATTATTCATTCATTGCTTTGAAGCATCTAACACAGGGCTTTGATGTTAAGTCAAATGCACTTTTTCTGAAGACTATCCAATTTTATAGTTTTAGCAGCCTGCAAGACTTCTCTGTATAGTGTGAACACTACCAAAAAGAAATTATGACAAAGTTTAACATGATCCATTTGAGCTAAAAAGGAACAATGGTTTAGTCTGCCTTTATATTCACGGACTGCATGGTCCTTCATTCCAATTATTAGATTTGAATTTCTATTGCCCCGAGTCAGTTCCCATATTAGCTTGATGATAAATTTTCCAAAAGTCTGCAATCAATCAGACACAGACAAACCAGTGTCTGACTACCACATACTGTTTATAAAAACTAGCACATTGTTAAGCTTTCTCTGATGCTGAGGCTTTCCTGATCTTTCTTCAAAATCAATGAGAAACAAAGAATTCTTCAAATTACTTGCGATAATAGTTTGAATTTAGATTACTGTTACAATTTAACTCTTTCTTAGCTATTACTTCTACATGCTGTCATAGACTACAGCTTTAATGAAATTAAATTTTTCTGCATTTCTTGAATTGACATTACTGCCCTTATTTAATATTATTCTTACAGTCTTAACATATTTACCAAGGAAAAAGGAAATTCTTTTCCTTGTTTTCAACTCAGTTTTGAGCTATACTTTTGTCTTCTCTTATCAGCTGTCTACATTTAATATCTCCTAATTTCACATTCACACTCAATTTCTTGCTTCTTCTATTTCAATCCTAAAAATGCCACTGTCCCCATCTGGTTTGTAGTTTAAACATCTGTGATTAATTTTAGGATCATTTAATACATGAACCTGTGTACTTTTAATCATCTAAGTATGAAGGCTGAAAGTTTTTTAAACTAGAGTAAGAAAGAACACTTGATGTGTTAACTTTGATATTTTTGATTAATCTAAGGTTTTTTCATTGTACTGCCTTTTAAGATTAGAGTCCTAAAATAGCTATTAATATAAGAGCCTATTGACATTTTTAGCCTGTAGGAACATGCAGTGGGCAGAGGCAGCTGAAATAACATATTTGAGCGATGAACCAGCTTTATAATTTTATTACTCAGACTTTCCTGAATCTATGGCTGGCATTTCTCCCAGTAACTCAAAAATTAAGCTGTTCTACATTTGAAACTTCCAACTAATCATGTATTAAAAACTTCTAATGGTTAAGGCAACAGAATACGGCAATCTTATAAAAAGATTGTAAAAAACCCCAACAAGATAGATCTGAAAAAACTGTGCCTTTAATTCTCTGTGCTATTCACATGAACACTGTAAGAAAAACAGGAAAAAAGTTATCTGGTATAAATTACAAAAAACTATGTTAGTTACTGGGAGTATATGACATATCATATTGAAGTAACAGTGACCTTAGAGGAGTCTGAGAAGGACCCTAAAGGAAAATGACAGCTAAAAGGAGATACAGCCTAAGCATCCTTCACTGGGTGCCTTAGGCCATCAGCAGTTCAGGAAACCGAGGCTTGTATCAACCACTCAGTCACCCCATAAAGCCAAGCAATGCCTTTGGTGTTCCACAATCTTTCCACAGTTTTGCATAGACGTCAAGTTCTCCTCCTTCCGAAATGAAATTTCCCCCACAGTTTGCTGGTCCAAAAAAGGCTCCATTCTCCCCCTTGGTCCCCAAACCACCGTATTCAAGAGATCTCTTCTGATCAGTGAGCATAAAGAAGCACTCAACAGATTTTGTTTCTGAATATTATGCAACACAGGTACACAATTTCTAAAATCATCTGGGAAATCCAGATCAGCTTAATGGCACTGTTGATAGATTTTTTTAACTTTTTCTGTGTCTGTGTAATAAAATAGTTGCACAGACATACTCAAGAACATTAGACCAGAAAAACTCTAGAGCCTGATGCACTGGAATAGAAGGACAAACTGAGCCACACGCATCTCACAGTGGATGACTATAGATCATATGAGCATCATAGAGGGATGTTCATTTAATGCAGAATGGAGAAAATTAATTATTTGGTACCCAAGGGAAAAAAAGAATGAACACGCAGTAAGTGACCTTTTAACAAATCTACTGCAATTAATTAATCTGGTTTGTACTGTATTAGTCCTAAGGAAGCTACATATTTCTAACTGTTTCCAGAAGAGCCTACCAGGAGTGTAACAAAGACTCAGTCTGGCAATAGACTGCAATTTGGTGTAAGTCTGCATCAAGGAGAACCAGGCCCTTGAGGAGGAACCAGGCAATTCTCTCCCCTCTCAAAGTTAGCCATTTATCCCCACGGCAAGTTCTACTAAATCTGGTAGCAAAATAACTACAGAGAGAAATCAGAATGGAAAATTAATTCCATTAATAAAGAGGGGGAAAGCCAAATTTTTAGCCATAGTGTTTGCAGAGTCATTTCACTGTACCTACATGCTGCAAGCATAAAGATGATGAAAAGAGCAAACCAGGCATCTGCTGATTGGAGGGTAGAGCAGAACCACCTCTTTCAAAAGCAACATGGGACTGTGGGGGTTTACACTGAAAATGGAAGTAGGAACAAAGTGGGAACAGTAAGAAAGTAATTTCTCCAAAACAACCTGCACCAGACACACCTTCTAAAATGCATAATTTAATGAATGTAAGCAAAAGTTAACAGTAATGCCAAGTCTGACTGGAACCAAACATTAAAATTTTACTGTTTGCCTGACGGATAAGTTAGTCTCAAGTGTCATTCTACAGCGCTAGCTTTAATTGCTCCCAGCTAAATATAGCTTTCAGAATTTAATAGCTCCCCCTCAGCTTTTCTGTCTTTCAAGGAGGGAAAGATCTTCTTGTTAGAAAAAGCACACAGGCATACACAGTGGCATGTTACCGCAGCGAAGCAGGAAGCAAGCCATTAAGATGATTACATTAGTCTCCAACACTCATTCAGAACTCCTGTTTTTCAGGAGACCAAATATTTCCCTGTTCCACCACTCTGGTTCCAGTTACAGCAGGTGATGGAAGCATGCATACCTTTTCAAACTAAGCCATTTTGCTGCTTTATTAGCAGGCTGCAAATCTTGCTTTCCCTGTGCTTCCAGTCAAAGATGATGTCTTTGCCAGCAAGCTGCCGTGGTGCCCACACACTTCTTCCTGTGCCACCTCTCTGGGCACCATGGGGCAAGGAAGAAGAGCGAGGCTGCACACTTATATACAGCCTACCCCCTTCCCTGCAGCCACTGTATTGGCACAACTCATATGAGAGGCTCCAAAATCTTCTGGAACAGCTGAGACTGCAGCACTCTGATAAAGGCATGAAACAATTTCTCTCTTCTGCCTTCTAATACCCAATAAGGACCTCAAAATATCTAATGCAAAGTTCCATATAGCAAGCTTCATTTTCCCCTCTCCGAGCTGATAACGGGTTTCACTCAGAAAATTTGGCTGACAGCTAGAAATGTGTTCTATGAATTTAGCATTTCTGTTCACCTTCATTTTAGAGGTCATTATGTAATTAAAGCACTCACAGTTTTTCTACAGTCCATGGAGTTAAATTAAAAGTAACCACTACTGCAATGACAAGTCTTCCCACTTTCCCTCAGGCCAGAACTCCAAACTTTGTTCTCTCCCCTCCAAACCATCATCTGACCATCTTACTATTTTCTTTTTAGTTTCATCCATCCCCTTCTCCTTTACTAAGTGGGGAAAAGAAGAATAATGCTACTTAAGGAAAAGAAAGAATTTACCAGACCATATGAATCACCAAATGCCATATTACCAGGCCATTCACTTCAGCTGTAAAATTCCAGGATTGCCTGTGTTAGAGCTGTGCAAGCACTTTAGAAACACTGCCTGGAGGGCTGCCAAGAAGTACCTACTACACTGAACCAAAGGTAGTATTGCCACTGATTTTCTGCCCTCTGACCCACCATTCTGAGGTCAGACCAGGCTGAATAGAACAGGTTAAAGGAACTATGTCTGTCTGATGCTTAAGAGAGGTTTTAAAGCAAGCCTCCTGACATGTTGCCTCCATGACACTGTTCTGCACTGGGACATCTGTGTTCTACTGCTAGCTGAGCTGCCCCGGAACAGAAAGGCTCCCTCCTGCCAGTGCAGGTGCAGGCTTCATTTACCAATGTCTGGGAAAGCACAGAATCATGACACTCACTCCCATTAAGAGTCTCCTTTCTGAAGTAACAAATGAAAGCGTGGATAAATAGCATCAAAAATAGGGATGAGTACTGGAGGCATTTTGTATACTTGATCTGGTTACCTGTACAGAACATATTTTTATTTTAAAATTCTGCTGGCCACAACAGACTATTTGGAGCAAATGAAAGTTGAAAAAACCTGCAAAGTGTACAAAACATCATACATGTACTGTGGATAAATATACGTGTTAGCTGCCATGAATCAGAGCTCAGTGCCCCAAAACTCCACAGGGCCCTTCCAAGCCGAGTTGTTCCACTTTCAGGCAGCACCAACCAGACTAAGGCAGGGTAAGCAGCCTGTCAGCCAGGGCTGCACAAGTCCTGAGCACCAAACAGCCTCTCCCCACATCTGAAACCACCATG